GAAATTATTCAAACACAACGTAGGGCTTGCTCTTGCATGTCGAATCAATTGAAATCCATAAACTTCGTATGCAGGGGATGAAGGCATATTTCTGCAAAGGTAAGGGAAGTTGACGATGGAAAAATTAAAAGTCATCACGTTTATCATATAACTTGGTTGTTAGATTACCATTAACGTCTTTTTCAATTAAAATATCCAAACATGAAACAGATGTGTCTGATAATGCTTTCTTCTATAGGCATATGCTTTCTGACGAAATATATTCATAAATTGAAGAATTGGACAAAACATACTTGACTCTCTTTCTATCGCTAAAGCATAAACCCAGTGAACAATTAACATTGTACATATACATACCGGCAGTACACCCCGTATGTAAAGATAAACACGGTGTTTAGTTTGTTTATGTTTTGACCTTGATGGACAAATGTATTTTTCTTTCTTTTGCAAAGTTATGCTGATTATTTTAAAATTGACCCTGACCCCCGTAAGAGAGTTTTATATACATGTATAGTTTGGAAACAGCTTAGAAAACTCTTGTTGTATATACATGTATAACAAAACAATACGTGCAATTTAGAGGACAACACGATTTACTGGATTCGATTGGAGAAATGGAGAAATGTGTTGGAAATTGATAGTTATATACAGTATTTTTGCAGCACAACATAGTGCAAATGGTACAGTGGCTGGAACGTTATTGTTGACAACTTACACGAACGATCACGTTACACGAACGATTCCGCACGATTAACGCACGATTAAACCTGTTACACGAACGATCTTTCACGTTCACGATTCTACACGTTACACGATCTTACACGATTGTTAACGCAAACGCACGATTCTTCACTCAAAATAGTTCAAAATATTTAGGAATCAATATTTTCAAAACGAAATACGGCTTAATACGTATTTAAGATTTCAAAGAATTATCAATATTATTTCATAGACTTTGAAGAAAAAAAAGGAAAATGATATTTCTGTAACTAAATATATGCAAGACTTAATATTTTAGATTAAAAATAATTATTTATAAGGTAGTTCTCCGATTAAAAAAAAACGGATTATGTTCGTTCTATTAGACGATGTACATGTATGTGGGTCGTATAATTTGATCGAATTGGATATCATGATATGCAGAAAGGGGGATACGATTGAACAAAAATGGCAGCATGGAATGACTTGAATTATAATTACAAATTTTATCCTTATGTTTCCAATGATTCAATGTCTGATAAACTTGCCAATTATTCAACTTTTTTATTTGCAGAAATTTAAAATTAATTAATTACAAATAGGCTCAAGAGATAAACACAGATAATCAAAACTCCCGAAAATCATGCCGTGTCCATGTATATTTGTCGACTTACTAGTTATGTAAGCATTGAGAAATGTTTATTTCTTTGTAAAAAAAAAAAATATATATATATATATATTTATTTTCAATGAATTGATTTCGAGATTATCTTGACCACAATAAGAAGTAAATAATAATTAAAATCAGATTTTTCAAAAAGGCGTTAAAGATCTAAGTACGGTTTATCACAATATTGATCGCGCTATTTGACGAGAACTTAATATTGTACGACTTACTATATTGCTTGTTTACGGGCGATAATTAGTTCGTTCTGCATTCTATTATGTAAATTGCGCTTTTTCATTTTATTTGGATTTTAATTAATAAATTAAGAAAAACAAACAAGGGAAATGCTTATTTTACAAATAACATTCCGATAAAAACTTACAAAACGAAATTTACACGATTCTAAACGCACGATCTCGCACGATCAAAAACGCACACGATTGAGTCTGATACACGAACGATCTCGCACGTTACACGAACGATCACTCACGATACACGAACGATTCTACACGATTGGTTTGTCAACAATAACGTTCCAGCCACTGTATCACTTTCTTGATTTAAACACATACTTACTGGAATATGTTTACTCCAATTACAAAACATTCTCCTAATAAGGAAAGAATATTCCATGAGAAATAATATTTATATGTCAAAAAATAAAGCTTATTTTTTATTAATTTGAAACACAGGGGCCGGTAACATATGCATGCTATATTTGATTTTTACGTTATCACTATAAATACAAAAGGGAAAAATCTTTTTGTATAGTGATAACGTAATATCAACAATAGTATGTTACCGGTCCCTGTGCTTTAATTCATTGAAAATAATTTATTATATTGCAGATTAGTAAATGTCTTGTTGAACAGAAAATGTAATATTTAAAATGAAATTAAAATGACATAACTTTCAAGAAACTTTTTTTCATATTTTTCCTGTAGTACTTTATGAATGTTTGAGCTCTATAGATCTGTGTATGTAAATGCTATTAATGCATAATCAATTTCATTAAATATTAATCAATAAAACGCAGCCCTTTAGGGGCGATAAGAAAAATTCACTTATATGCACCTCAGGGTTAAAATATGTAAAGTTATAAAGAAACGACTAGTATGCGTATCTGCGAAAAGTAAAAATGGCAGTGATTTCGGAATATTAGAATCGTGTTAAGGAAATAAAATCTTCAATAATCATAGATGATAAAAAAAAGAGAGAATTAAATTAACAATAAGCAAATAGAAACAGATTTTTCAAACAAAGTTTATCTCTAGATAAAAGAACAAATGATGGATTTCGTGTTTGAATGATTAATGGCAGTTGACTTTAAAAATTAATGCACTTTTAAATCAATCATGTCAGTTTAAAAGCCGTAAAAAGTTATAAATACAAAGAAAGATGGAGAAAAGGGTGTGTGCTGTTGTACTTATTGTGCAGAAGGTGTACATGCGTATATGATCAGCCGCCAACCTTTTATTTACCTAAAATCATCGCACACAGGTAGCGTGGCCGAGCGGTCTAAGGCGCTGGTTTAAGGCACCAGTCTCTTCGGAGGCGTGGGTTCGAATCCCACCGCTGCCAATACTTTTGTATTAACTTTAAAACACATCAGAGGTGAGATCAGTCTGACAGAGGTTTAAAATATTTCAGAAGAAATATTTTTGTACAACTGAATATACAGTATTATATAAGAAATCGTTATTGTACATGACGACAATAATTCAAATTTGCTTTTTAATTTTTAATTTTTTTGATTTTTAAACTTTATTTTGGTTCTATTGATCATAAGGGTTTAGATTACATACAGATTAATCATAATAACACATTTTACCAGCAAAATAAAATTCTCAAAAATGCAGCTCATATTGCTTTAATTACAATTTGCAATATTTTTTTCCGATGTCGAACATGCAGCTCATATTGCTTTAAAATAAATGACCAGGGGGAGACATTATATCTGTAAAAATATAAACTTCTTATCCTGAAAAATGTAAGAGCAGTTACTAGTATCTGGACGTGATGTACCAACCGACTTTTTTCGGTAGAAAACCTGGTTAAAATAAACCTAACTTATTTTTTAAGGAGGCAAGAATGAAGAATTCGATGAATTCAGATATAAAAAGGTCACACATTCCGAGAACACAACCAGTTATTGTTTTGTCTTGCTTAATTTAAGAGTTCATACGTTTGTTTTAATTAGCAACTGTGTAGCTTTGAAGTGTGCTCTGGTTTTCTGTGTGGAATTTTATTGATGTAACATTTAATACAGAGACAAACTATACCAATCAAACTTGCTCATCAACGAAATTGGTGTTGAAGTGTAACTACATCTACAATTACCTGTTTCTGTATACTCACTATTGGCCTTTTCATAGAAAACAACCCTTCACAACATTTTTTCCCCTAGATTTGTTATTGTTTGTTGCAGAGAAGTATTTCCTAATTTTTTTGTAGCAAAATACTGAATAAAAGTCTACTTTGAAATCGTTATTTTCATGTATGTAATGTTAACTGCACGCCTTTAAAAATCTACTGTCTTAGTTATATTAAAGAACTTGAATGTAGAATATAGATCAAAACAGCACAAGACGATGTGAAGAATTATGTGGATTTTTTTTTGTAACACCAGCCCCGTTATCAATAAACAGATAACAGCTTCTGATTTATTTGATTTTTGTTTACAGATAAATGACGACCTTTCTATGAATAACACAAGCGTCGAAAAACACGAGCCAAATATCAGATTAACATGCACTCTGAAGTTTGTTCCATGAGTAATTCTATATTTTAAAATAGCTAATGTAAGTTTTAGCTGTATGTCTTTCTTTTGATTTCTGTTCCTATAAAAAACATTGGAACGCGTGCTTCTTATCTTCAGCCATTAGAAACAGATATTGCAAAAGACTGGCAGCATTCCTAATGTACATGTAAGAGTGGCATCAAAGGTGAAGAACACAATTCTGCGAACAAAAAAACTAGCAAAAATCAGGGATATTTGTGTACATTTATAAATTCCTACAGTTGTTGAAAAATTGCTTCAACTCTTCCTATTCCACTAAACCATATTGAATTTTCTTTAAAAACAATTAACATAATATACCTTGATAATATATTTCATAGTATTATTGCTTGTATGTTAGGCAAATGGCGTTTATGTCTCCTAGCTTATTCAATACTCAATAACATGTTCTGAGAAAGATCTTAAACTGAAGTGGGCTCCTGACATATAAGTTGATCAATCAGGTTATTCAATATTCAACAATCATCTTTAAATTCTATGATCACATAAATGACTTTGTAAGCAAACAATACCTATTAATGGTCGTATTTTGGCCTTTGCTATTCAGAATAGGTCCTTTTATTTTTTTATGAAATTACCGCAGAATGTCCCTTCTTCCAGATCAATACAAAGAACTAACTGGGGGCGTCACCTGTAAGCAGGAGTCCTATGGATTTTTTTTTTTTTGGAAAATGTATTACAATGTATTTCATTAAAAAAGGGTTTTCTTCGTTATTTTACATTAATTAAGGGTATTTTTGCATCTCATTTAGAGTAACAGCTGTGCACCTATAGGAGCTAGTGTAGATTAAGATTTACTTAAGATTTACATATTTCTTTTAAAAAAAAGTTGATTATAGTTGTAGATGAACGGGTAGAACACGAGCTCATGTCGGTCCATGAGATGAAGTTTGAAGTGGGCGGTCTCTATGACCAACAAGACGATGACAAGATCCCAATAGACGTCCAATTCGATTCATTCATCGAACAAATCACAGGCAAAGAAGGCCATTTCAACATCTCATCATCTCTCGAGGGAATCGAAAATCAGAAGAATGAGAAGGGGAGAAACGGAATCCAAATCACCACCGAAATAAACAACGAGAAAAACTTGAACGAAGAAAATAAAATCTCAGCAGATGTCAAATGCGATGACAGTGGGATTGGGCTGGATCTTGATAAATCCAGAATGTCCTCAACAGAGGAGATGATGGATGAAGCAGATGGCCAGACGAACAGACACGGTATGAAAGGAAAAACTTTACAGAAGGACTTACAAGATGGAGGCTCCATCGATAAAGCAGAGATCTATGGCGAAAAGGAACCTTCAGTAACGATACAACCAAAACGTCGATTTTCTGATCTTGATGTTCATTTGAAAATGATGGGCGATAAAGCCTATCCGTTTTTCCAACCAAATCCGGAAGAATATCCAGAAATAGATGGACCAACAAACACAAAAGACATTGCAGCTGAATCAGATCAGTTAGAACTTAAACATGAGGTACAGACGGATAACTGTAATCAGGAAGAAGAGAGTGGACTCTCATTGAAACAAGATTCTCATCTCGAAAGTAAAGAAAACAATGATGTTGTTTTAACTCCTGTGTTGGATGTGGACATTGATAATACTTCGAAAGAACACGATTTGAAACCCGATTTAGAATCTGTAAACGAGAACTCAACAGACAAGGAAGTAAAGAATAGTGAGCAAGAGGATAAAGTATCGAAGACAGAAAATCCCACAGAGGAGAAAGACGACAAGGAAGAAACTGAAGCAACAGAAAAAGATCCAGAAGATGCAGACCTTCTCGATGATATGCTGGAATATCTGAAGAATAATAGGAAAGGTTCTAGGCGATCAATGACTACGGATAGCGGCTTGGGAGACGATGATTACAGGTACAGTATATACATGTTATATATTTTATCAACAAAAAAGGTTCAGGAGATTAGTATGCATTCCTTTCTCTTTGTATCCTTTTGTTCTCTGTATCATCATTCATTTCTATCTCCCTTCTAGGGACAGCTCTCCCGATTCTGATTGGGAAAGCCAAGAACATCGGCGGAAACGGTCACAAGACAATACAGACCATCACTCGAAAGCAAAGCCATCCGTCTTGAGCAAACAATTGAACAAGATGAAAATACCGAAGATTTTGATTGAAGAAAGCGATGAAGTGGAAGAACACGATTTTGTATATCCTGAAGTAGCAACCGAATCACACACGGAAGTAGAGCCCACCGTAGCGGTTCCTGAAGTTCTAGATTCACCGAGATCTCATACCGAGGAGGTTAACGAGATGGACAAAGAGAATATCGAACCAATCCAAAAATCACAACCAGAAAACGTAATGAGGGTAGAGGTGGATGTAAACCAAGGCAACAACAACATCGAGAGCATTATATCCGCAAATGTAATTTCATCTGAAGAAGCACCGTGTTCCAAAGTTGATTTAATAGAAGAAAAAGAAACAGAAGTAGAAGAGAATGAGAAAAGAGAAATACAGAAGCAAGATCTTCATGTTCCTATTGTTCACGCTGAGCTTGAGTCAGATATCGAGACTGCTAGCGAAATTGGTAATATGACCGAACTTTACGAGACAGCAGATGATACTGAATATGAAAAACGACTCGCTACACAAGTAGAGTCTGATCTCGGAACCAGCATGGAAAGTATTACAAACAAGGACGACGATGAGAGACTCAGGATTCTTGGTAGAAGATATGAACTGAATACCAGCAGCAGGGAGAGCAGTATGCCTGTTAGTGATTACGATTTCCAGTGTCGGAAAGATTCCTTACGAAACGACAGGCGATCCACTCTCAGAAAGCAGTACATGATCGTGGATTCTGACGAAGACGATGATACTCATAGTCTTCGTCCCGTGCATGATGATGATTACTTTGCAAGCACAGAATCCTTGGGAATAGGTGTATCCAGAGAGAGTTTGGACAAAACATTCTCCCAGTTGGAATTATTATGCGGAGAAGTTATTCCTGAGACAGATGAAAATGTTCTTTCAAGAAGTGGTTCCAGAGATGACGGTTGCGATCCAACTGAAAACGATAATAAGGGTTTTCAGATGCTTGATAAAAATCAACAGAATCCGAATATCTTTACAGAGTGTTCAGAATCTGCATATTCTGAGAGTTTGTCGTCTGAACCTGAGGACATTGAGGATATTCTATCAAAGAAAGCAAAGGAAATTCAGCAAGAAATGGATACTCTTAGTCTTGCATGGAGAGAGGAAGAATCTGTTGAAAACCAGATGTCAAATGATGTAGAAAAGCTTCAGGACACAAAACCAGAAGTCCCTAACCAGATTATCCACACAGAGGTTGGTGATAAAGTACAGATCAAATCGAGGAATCAAAGTTTTGTTAGAGAATCTGAAAGACCACAAGAAACAACTGAAGATTCTTTTGCATCTTCTCCATTGTCTGAAAAGGCAAAACTGACAGAGTTGAACGAAGATTCTTCCTTTAAGGCAAAACTATCTAACAAAGAGGTCTCTTCGACTAGAGAAAATGTTTTGAAAGAAAGGGAAGGAAAATTGAATGCTATTGAAGATATTTCTGAAGAGCAAATGAAAATGGCAATAGAAAATGAGAAAGACTCTCTTTTTGCTCAAGCTAACAAGACCAAAGAGCAAATACAAGAATCGTTAAATACTTCCAGTACAGATTCAACCAAACAGGAAAAAAGTACTGTCAATGAACAAGAACCAGTTGAACAGGTCGAAGAAGGTGTCATTGCTTCTACAGATTCAGCCAAACAAGAACAAAGCTCTGTAACTGCACATAAACCAGGTGAACAGGTTGAGGAAGGCATCATTGTTCCTCAGCTTGAAGAGCCAAAGGAAACTATACCAAAGTTTGTCGACCTACCTAAAGATGCCATCCCTCAACAGCCATCTGATGAGTTTAATATACTGGCAGACGTAGACACAGACGAAATGAAGTACCGAACTCCAATGGACGATTTCCTGATGTCCACCAGCAAAGTCTCCAGCAAAAGGAAGCAGACGAGACCTATTATTTTGTCTGCGTCATCTGACGTCACAATCAAAGAAGGCCAATGTCTGGTACTGGAATGGGAAATCACAGGTTTGTCACTTCAAACATTATTTTAAAAATTTGAAGAAAATGAATTATTTTTCACCTGAAATATGGTGATTTGAAATCAAATATCAAGGAATAACTACCAGAAAAAAAGTTTAAGTCCATAATAGATAATCACAAAATATGAAAACAGACGATCTTTGATATTTCTTTAAAAGGAAACCCCGAACCAAAGGTTGAATTGTATAAGGATGGCGCCCTGCCCCGCTTCTGTAATGGGGACGGTCTATTCCACGACTCGGACTTTGTTACGTTGGAGGTGCTCCACAGCTCACCCAGTGACACTGGCTGCTACGAGCTCCACCTTACCAACGAATTAGGAACTGACGTCAGCTTAATCAACGTCATCGTGACGGAGAACTCTCGTGAGGGATCTTTGGTCTGGGAGAAGCCTCTCGAGAGGTAACATAGACAATTTGATCTGGGAATATTAAAAGAATTTTGCATGTGAATTCTAACATCGGTTTTTAGAGAAAATTGAAATATAGCATTTTAGCAGCTCATTCTATTAATTGTCTTATTTATATTATTTTGTGATTTAGGGCAAATTCTCCACCAACGTTTACGGTGACTCCGGGTGACGTCAAAATTATCGATGGACAAACTATTGTTCTAAAAGCCAGTGTTGATGGTAAACATCGGACAATTCAATAATACATTTTCAACTTATCTTTTCTTTAGTACTAACCTCTTAAATTTCTCTTTTTGAACTCCCACTTTGCAGGTTATCCTAAGCCTTCCATTCAGTGGCTAAAAGATGACGACGATCTTCAGGAAAGTGCCCACTGTGACGTCATAGAGGAAGCCACCTACAGTTGCCTTGTTATCCCTAATCCTACACAGGAACATGTCGGTCAATACATCTGTAGGGCGGTCAATACGGAGGGAGTGTGTGAGACAGTATTTGCGGTCACCATGGACATGGGTATATAAATCAAAGTTTACACAATATTTAAGAAATAAAGTACGTTACAAATTGAGGTCTAATGTTGTGAAAGATAAAAGCCGAGGCGTTAGCCGAGGCTTTTATATTTCAAACAACATTTGAGAAATATATACGACAACAAGGACTTTATTTCTATTCTGCCAAGATCTATAAATACGGCTGATCGTTTCCTCTATAGAGAAACGAATTAGGTCACCATGTCTCGATTTCGCTGTTCCATTTAACACCAGAGGTAAAATTCGTTTGCTTACCTGTAATGCAGACGATTTGAGCTTTCGTTGCATTAAAAATAGCCTTTTTAGATTATAAATTTGTTCGTAATATGTATTGATCAGTTAGAATGAATATACAATAACAAAATCATGTTCCTGTTTTACTGCTAAAATCACGTTGTTTAATATAAAAGCATGAATAGCCCCGCTTAGCTATAAAAACCGACATTCATCAGCAACTTGATGCAATTTACAGTGTGTTTATACTGCAAAAGACGACACAACTAAACAAGTATTTATACAGCCAAACATGCATTTGAATTGATCAGATTTGATACGTGTTTCTGATCTGATAATTTTTTGATGACGTTCGTGATTTATTGGAGAATAATGTCCGGTGGTTTCCTTTGATGTTTTCAATAATCGTGGTAGAATAGTGAATACATTTACAAATTGATCTAAGTATTGGAAATACATACCTTTTATAAACGAAGGATGGGCAATTAGATTTTGAAACAAAATTGAATGTCATTTGTTGGTTCTTCAAATATAAAAGCATGTTAAATGATATGAGAATACAACGTGTTATCAAGCAATAATTTAAAAACAAGCATTTTGTGTACGTATTGAACGTTTTTAAGTAAACGTTTTAACTCATAACGTGTTTTTGAATTTCTTTGAACAATTTTGCGGGTGGATCGATAAACAGGGGATGCTTACTCCCACAAAGTCACCTCTGATGTTTAGATCACCAGAGCTGAAAGCTCAAGTGAGCTCTTCTAATCACCCAATGTCCGTCGTCCGTCCGTCTGTCAGTCCGTTTGTAAACTTTTCACATTTCAATTTCTTCTCAAGAACCACTGCATGTGCCAATTTTAAGCAAACTTGTACAAAGTATCCTTTAGTAAATGAGAATTTAAATTATTATGGTGAAGGGCTCAGCCTCATTGCAAAGGTAAATAATCAAGAAAAGACAAAAACGGGGTAGTGTCATTAAAAATCTTCTTCTCAAGAACCACTGGGCCAAAAGGCTGAAACTTATTTGGAAGCATTCTTTGGGTAGAGTAAATTCTAAATTGTTAAAATCATGACCCTTGGGTGGAGCCAAAATAGTTATTACCCGTGGGTGGGGTGTCTGGTGAAGAACTATTCAGGTTAGCGTTGTGACCCATGGGCCTGTTTTATCCAACCCTGTATTTTCTCTTATCACAATTTTTTTAATTGTTCTAATGTACTTTTATGATTGATTCATGTTAATTATCTTCTTTTTTCACATAGGTATGTATCTTAATAAATATAGGAGCCATATTTTAACAATTACTCTATCATTCAGCTATAAATACATGTAGATTTTACTATCTTGAGAATTTTCGACTATCACTCGATTAAATCCATCTAAAGCTAAATATATCAGAAGAAATGAAATACACACCTTTTAAAATGCAGGCACATATCATCGTTTTAAAAAGTGGGACGGGAGTTGGGGGGAGAGAAAAAAAGACAGTTCACTTGAAAAATCTTTAACAAGCAAAAAAAAGTAAACAAATAAATGATTTACAAATAAATAACAATAAATAAATATTGCATTCATCAAGAGTAACGATAAAACATCTACTTTTTTAAAGTGGAGAAGATACATATTGTCTATTCTATCTCGTTTCGATGCCATGTGGCTGTGAAGTATGTAAAATATATGAATTTTGTTATAAAGTAATCGAATTTTACGAGATATAAAATTATTTTGAACGCATAAAAAAGTATGCCGTTTTCCACGCAACATGTAGTTGTAAATTTGAAACATTTTCACCGTGAAGGAAATGGACAAATAAATAAACATAACATGAAGTAAAAAAGGAGATAAAGAATTCATTGAAATTACCAGCTCGATATCTGTTAAAAAGGTTTATTTTGGCAGGTGATGAAATGAATAACATGAAGCCATTGGAACTAGTAGAGCCATCACACGTAAAACCGATATTTGAAAATCTGTCAGAGGGTACATTGAAGTTCTCCCCCAAAGTCAGGCTGGAGATTACGGAATCCGAGGTTTGTTTGTGAAGTCTTAGAACATTCCCTCTTCATCATTGAAGGTCAGAGTAATGATGAGGTAGTAATGAGCTAGTGATATTGATGAGAATGATATAAGTTTCCCATTCACTGCCGTGCGAAAGTTCCTTGTCCTTAAAGACATATTTACATGAACATTCAACTATGTATACCGCCATTGGCACACGAAATAAAAAAAAAAACGTATTGACAAATTAATCAGTCATCAAAAAGGGAAAATTCACAATATGTAATGAATATTTCAGGATTCCTTCTGCAAAAAGTTTGAAGTATGTTCCAAAGTCATTGACGCTTTAAACGACGTCATCCTGGAAAAAGGTGACGTGGTGGACGTCTTGGACAGAACCAAGGGCTCCCATTGGCTGGTCAGGAAAGAACACGCGAAAGACGAGGTATAAATGTTATAACATAAAAAAGGTTAAGAATAGGGGTCTTTATAAAATATCTTACCTGAAAACATCATAAATGCGTTTTACAGGTGTTCGAAACTCTAATTTAGACAGCATTCTATTGTATGTTCTTTAATAATATTTCTGACTTTGGAATCCATGGAATTTTAAATTGGAGATCAGTCAGGATGGTATCTCGTTGGTCAGTTTACGCTTACAATATACAGAATGTGTTCTAATGCAGTTAATTGGTGGAGCACCTGTTAAATTGTCAGGTAAACGGTTCGAATCACCTGCATAAAAAACATCAAACTTGGCACAATCAAAATGATCTGGAAGAAAGTTCATTTTGTACATTTTCCTTTTTCCATGATTAATGGAACAGCTCAGTTGAAATCTCTATGGTGAATAGTTATTTTTTTTTATTAACGGATGTGTTTTTTCTTACCGTTGAGACTCGCAAAAAGTGTTCTGATACAGAAATTTTTTTTATAAAATCAAAGTCAAGGAAACAAGCAAAAATAAAATAACAAACACAAACAAACGTAAATAATAATAATAATAAACATATTTTGCTCGTTGGAGAGGGGTGGCAAGAAAAAAAAATCGAGGACCAATGATGGATTTTTTTTCTTCACGGGTAACAATTTTGTGTAAAAGGATCGGGTTCAATATCCTCGTTTCCAGATGCAGAAGATGGATCGTCATCATGGAGGGTAAATTGAAAATTCAAAGGATTCGTTTAATTTAAATTTAAATAAATTATCGATTAGGCCTAATTATGACATAATTTATTTCATAACAATAAAAAGTAATAGGAATAAATAACAGATAGAGAAAATCATCAAAATGTATAATCTTCACTCATTATTTGACAGACTACACCTCAAATAATACAACACTTAAGCTGTAAGCCAGGCTAGCTTAGTGGGAGCAGCTGGCATTTATTTAATAACAATTCATAACAAACAGGCATACATTATTGTGTATGTGAACAATGAAGTACTGCAATGTTTTGGTTAACTATGCGTTACATGCTATTCATTATACCCCAATCAAAGACATTAAAAACCGCCCAGGAAAAAACCATAGACGAGTAACTATGGAAAACCTGTGTCCGTCGCTATGTAAATAATGCCTCAAGGGAGAATGCCGGACGTGCATTCGGAGCAGTACTTGGTATGCATAAACACCGTTTATGTACATGTACAATAAAGCAAAATCAAAATATATGACAATATTACATATATATATAATATAATACATATATCAACGTATTAATTTGAATATAGATATAAACAAAAACACGTGTGTGTTCTGCGGAGCACTGACTTAGAATGATCCAACACCTCACAAAATACCACCTTCCCATTGGCCTTCCTTTGGCCACGCCTACCATAAACAGGCATTTCCAATAAAATACGTTCCTATCATACAATGTTTTCCCGCTATTCTACGAAACGCGGGAAAACTTTAGTATAATCTTCACTCATTATTTGACAGACTACACCTCAAATAATACAACACTTAAGCTGTAAGCCAGGCTAGCTTAGAATATCAAGTTCAAAAGTTAGAGCGTGAAAAAATATAACTTTCAGATATCAAATTTATAAATTACAACTGAAAAAAAATAATGATGAACAAGCAACTGTTCTTTCTAAGGAAAAATGTTTGATAATACCGACCCCCCCCCCTTTTTTTTTTTTTTTTTTAAAATTAAAATGTACTTTCCAAACTGACATTAACATAGCTGTCTTTTGTCGAACCCGACAGTCTTTAAACAGGGGACGTGGTCGAATTGCCCGCTGTAGCGTCAACGCCTGCGCCCATAAAATATATGCCAATGTTAATATTTTCACAGAGCTTGTTGATGCAGATTCACAAACTATCACTGTTTCATTTTCTTGTCTGTCTTGTTCATTTATAATTTTACGTATGAACGCTTTTGATGAATTTATATCTGCTAAGACTACGTCAGAAGCGACATAATGATCTGAACTCGTCGATACCTTAATCATCTTGCATTTGTTGATCTGTCTGAAACTCCACGAAATATTTTTACAAATGGAATGATCGTTAGGATCCGTGTTTCCTGGAATGAATCGTTTAGACCCGAATATCCCAGAATGGAATGTACTCACTTGATGACACAGTCGCACAAATCACAAATTTTGATTTTATTATTTTTTACACATTTCTCTCGATAATCACACAACTTCTACATTAGGACGACATTTCCTATATGTTCTGAATCCATGCTGATTTTACCACCTTTTCCATGATCTTGTCCAAAGTTATGTCTGCAAAAACAAGTTATGCGTAAAACGAATGTTTATACTATATTTAATAAAAAATCTAAGAAGAATCATATCGATTATCTTGTGTCCACCATAAATACCTTGCACCCTTTTGAGTTATCAAATACGTTACTTGTTTAATTTCTTTTAACAAAATTTTGTCATTTGACTTCCTTTATTCTTTTTTAAAAAGCTACCAATAAGAAACAGACTTCCATACTGGAAACATTAAAGCACTCTTTCTGATACTAAGCCTTGTTGGAGACACTAATCAGTTATTAATAAGCTATACATTGTCTAAATATATTATTTCGACTAGTGCCTTGACATGACAATTTTTATTTTATTCTATCTATTTTTTTTTTTTTTTACACCTTGAGTTTTAATCAGTAGTAAAACTGTCACAAACAAGTGGACCTAAGGTTCAACATATGTTTTCAAACACATAAGTTTTAACTCTCCAATCGTTGCTATTTAAGCACATACTAAAAGTTTTGGCTCTAACTTATTATTATTTTTTTTTTTTTACGATTACCACGTATCCGTTTTGCAATATTTTATTAATATTATGGCTTTCTACTGCCCACCTCTATAATTCTACACACATCTTGTCTATATATCCCAAATACTTTTCCCTATAATATTCATTTATCTATTTTTAGATTCCGGTTCTCTCCACATAGAACTCTGACAAGATTCTGACTTGTCCACGTATTGAACGTTTCTGACAAAATTCCTGACATGTCCCCGTATTGAACGTTTCTGACAAGATTCCTAACTTGTCTAAGTATTAAACGTTTTGACAAGATTCCTGACTTGTCCACGTATTTAACGTTTTTGAATGATTGAATCTTTCTATTAGAGCACCAATAACATGAATCAGACGCATCATTATAAATATTCAAATAAGATTTCTTCTCTAGACCTTTTGAATTAAGCATATTTATAATTAACAGATTCCAAAGGATGAGACACAAATCCAAAGAAAACTTTGATATAGACTTCTCCTTTAACATTTTTTTTTTTTTTTTTGATATTATGGATCTTCTGGCCGTCTACATGAACAATTTCCACTGATTATCACAAATGTAAGATACAGAGTTTAAACTTTCAAAAAACCTTTGTTTCGAAAACTCTTCAGATCCTGAATCTGATAAAAGATTCCAATGTATCGTTGTATAAAATCCAGCCACATTTCCTATAGCGGCTTCCGAGTTATGAAATGATTTGCTCTCTCATACAAGTTGTTATAAGTAATTGAAATATTATCATACTTTGAAAACAACTAACTTTGACTTAAATTTCACTGATATGCCGTAGCAATTTTTCTGTTCTCTGGGAAGTTATATACATGTACTATTGTTTCATTATTCCACTCGAAAATTACCAAACTATGGTTGTTAAGGCCGCTAAATGAATTGTGAATACTACACAATGTCCAAAGTCCAAAAAAGTTTGAATAAAACTTACAGATACTTACAGCTGCTTAAGAAATACAGGGAAATTCCTTGTCCTGTCCAATATTTACCTTTTTTTTTTTTTTTTTTAATTTTTTTTTTTTTTTTTTTTTTGTATAACTTTATAATAAGAATGCAGCAAATGGAATACCAAATGGTAAAGCATTGAACACAAAAATATTTTAATACACCATCGTATTCCCACTGACTACGGTCTAAGATGATAGCTGAATAAACACTTTACTTGTCCTTTTTTTTTTTTTTTGAATGCATACTCGTCCTATTTAACTGCAACATGAGGTATATCCTTGACCTCAGCTACTCAACCTTTTTATATATTTATTTCGTTTGAGGTACGAATTAGATAGAAATCGATTTTTACTTGGTGTAAATAACTTTGAATTACTTTTTTTTTTTTTTTTTCAGAATTTCAAGGTTTTCACTTGAACACCCGGTGAATACCACGTGGTTCTCTAAAACCGGTTTCACTAGCAAGGCTACAAAATGTCTTGAGGCGAACAGTGATTTAAATGCCGATTTAGGACGACACGTCGTTTACGATAAAAGTTTAAATCTTATCTTTTATTACTTTTAGTGAGGACGAACTTCATTTTGTGTGTGCAATCTATATAAAATCTGTAGACAAGACTTTCTAAGAAATATTGGAATTTCAAATTTACATTATAATGATTTAAATGTTCTCTTTAAATATCTGTTAACTCATTTCCCTCGTCAATCTGCAAATTTTATTTATAAAGCCTATAATATAAGACAAAGAAAAATCACACGCATGTAATTATTGTACATGTATATCTATTGCTAAAAGTGACTTATAGGTCCGATGGGCCGGGTGTTCCACATATATGTTTAATTGTATATCGAATGTTAAAAATTACTGTATACACATGTCACTATAATAAAAAAATATTTACTTACTTACTTACTTACTTTACTATTACTCAATCCAACATTTAACATGTAAATAAAAATTGTTTTTCATATTTTGCATGTTATATGTACATTGTACAATAAAACCGCTACATGTCGTTGCTATGTCGTAATGGTGTGTTGTTTATTGTACTTTCATTTGAATATAATGAATGGATACAAAGTTACAAATAAATAAAATATATAATTATCTACCCCAAAACTCTCACCTTAATAATCGATAGAATGAACTTTAACATTTTCATTTATACTATAGTTTCTTACAATAAACCTTTAATAAAACTATCTTGGTATTTCGTTTCCTTATCATTAATATTCTTAGAACACTTATACTTATCTTAGAAACTGTTTCTTTATTTGTACATTGCATAGCCCGATGACATGGAAAGTAACAATCGTTACAGGACCCTGGTTTTCTTTTGACATCGGTTCTGCTTGCTCGTTCCTGCTCCCCAAAACTCAGGAAAAACACGTGTGTGTTCTGCGGAGCACTGACTTAGAATGATCCAACACCTCACAAAATACCACCTTCCCATTGGCCTTCCTTTGGCCACGCCTACCATAAACAGGCATTTCCAATAAAATACGTTCCTATCATACAATGTTTTCCCGCTATTCTACGAAACGCGGGAAAACTTTAGTAGGCACACCTCAAGGACTTAGACTAGCATTTTAGTTTTGGATCCCTCGCTACGAGCAAGTAAACTCGAACTTGGTTCTGCTTTAGGCATATGGTTTAAACCAGAGACATAAAACATGGTTTTTATATGCATCTGTTTAGACTTGGTCGTGAAAATTTTAGAAGAAAGAAAATATCTTGCAAGTCAGTAAATAAATGTATTTTTTACAATAACAACATTAACCCTCGAATCATGAGTTTTCGTGGCATTACGGTTAATTTGTAATAAAGTGCTTCAAGACTGAATAATTGAGATGTTTGCTATTTACCACATATACAAACAATAATTCTCCTTATTTTAAAATGATTTTAACTCACATATCATTTGTTATTTGTTCTGAAGGTCATTAAATTCTTGCATAGTTGCTCTTTCGATTTTTTTGCTGACGTCATATGTTTTCGTGGTATTTATAAAACAAGCAAACTATGGAAATCTAGTCGGGCAAAATCCTTATAAATTTTACAGAGTCAAAAATACTAGTTAATTGACAAAACGATTACATTATTTGACATGGAAATTTATTTGTTGTTAATTAAGACCACATCTATCTAGGCGTGCGTAAGCTGTATTGCTAAATAATGTAAAAATTTTCTCTTTCTCATGAGTGGCCTAGAAATAATTTTGTAAATCTTTATTTTAATGTTTCATGTTTTAAAATATTAATTCCATGTATACTTAAAGAAATAAAATGTTTAATTCAATTAATTATCAATGGCATAATATTTTTTTTAGCATGTAACTTTTTAACACCCCCGATATTTTCTTTGAAAATTATATAAAAAATGACGTTACTAGATCACCGTAGAAAAAAATCAAAAGTGGGAAATTCCAAATTATTGTCACATGACCGGAAGCTGTATGGATAGTTAACAGACGATGATATGCAGGATCGCTGGCTATTAGTTTGTAAGTTTGATATTCTAGTTCAAAACACGTTGGATAAGCGTATATTACGCAAATTGTCAAATTTGCGAACTATGCATAACTCACTCGCTATATTTTATTTTGACAAAGGCAAAACGGTTTAACATTTGGTCATAAAAAATGCACAGGGTTCCCCTTTATTAATAGCAAATATGACGTCATTCCGATCTCGCATTGTGGTATTATTCCTAAAAATAAAAAATACCACGAAAACATATATACCACGAAAACACATGACGGGACGGTATGCAGGAAGCCGATTAAAATATGCAAATTTTATAAATATTAACAGAGCTGAATGATGTTTTATAATGTTTTTGACATTACTGTATTAGTTTTGTTAATGATACCCAAAATACAGCAAAACTTGTTAACTACAAACACGGATAGAGCAAATGCATGGATATAGAAAAGTTCTTCAAAGTCCAAAGAAAAATTCTGAAAAATTCATTGTAAAATTTTTACAGTTATTATATACAAATTTACATATATAGACCAGTGTATTCATTAAATTTATGATCTTAAACAAAATGGCATAAAATACACAGGAGTGACCCGGATTGGCAACTCCGCTGTAACAAATTTCCAAAGATCTCAAAATGTGATATATTGAACTGACTTTATTTTTAGTATAACGTATTTGTATATAAAATTCAATTCATCATAATAAAATCTTAGTTATCCAACGTATGTTTTGTAATAATTGCTTCCCTAACATCTTTGGTAGTACACTGTAAAACCCCAGTCACCTTTCAAAAAACGACCAATGGCCTGAGGTTTTTTGAAAATTATCGGGCCAATATCGGCGTTCATAGGAATTAATGTGAATGCTCCAGGTTGCCCGATACTACTCTCTGGCATTCATGTTTTTCAGCCGATGATATTGAGAAATATATTTCTGATTTACATTAGAAAACTTAACATATATCTTGCAAACAACTTGATCTGCCTGACAAAAAAAATGCATTGAACCAGACAAGGCTGCCAGAACTCTAAATAGGTGCCCTAGCTGGCAATCAAGCTTTTGTCAATGATGAACAAACCTCTTGACTGACACTGTATTTCTAATGTATTCCTTAGATTTTCTATATGCTTTCATTAATACAGCAGTTATTATGCCAGACGAGATAATAAGAGTAAGACAATTTGAAGTACTTTGCTATGTTTCATCCAGTGCAGTTAGTTGTTATGACAGCTGCCAGATCTTAGTAGAAATAGAATTTCTGTGTATATGTGATTTATTGTGATTTAAAATTTACTACATAGCCAGAAAAGTTGAATTATTTTGTAGAGATTCAATAATCACAATGTATTCTTATTATAATGACAGGTGTGCTATGCTAGTCCAGAGAATTTAAAACCATGTTTAGGAAAAGAGAGAACAGACCCTAAAGAACTGGAGAGCAATGTCTGCATTGAAAAAGTGGAAGAAAAGAAAAGGTTTGGTGCTTTTTGATTTTGGTAACAGAGTATGTAAATGATTAGGATCACTAAAGAAAATATTTTAATGAATTACCAGTATTTGTAAGCTGGTAATATTTATCTTAATTGGTTTAAAGTTTTAGCGTCAACTTTACCCCATGTTAGGTACAGTATTTTTAATGTTCCTCTTTAAAACATTGTTGTATAATAAAAAAACTTTGATTTTTCTCTGAGCTGTGTCAGCTGGAGTTTATTAGTGACGGTGATTTTCTGGTCGTAGGAAGCTGGTACAGGACCTGCTGGACAGTGAGACTGACTATGTGTGTGATCTCAGGGACCTGATAGAGAACTACTTCGATGTCGCCGACGACGAGTTCCCCGACAAAAGCAAAGGAAAAGACATCTTTAGGAATGTGGAAGCACTCTATCAGTTCCATCATAAGTAAGGGTCTCACTTCCATCATATGTATCGGTAAATCTAACAGTGCAATCATCAGTGAATTGATCAGTTTCATTGTACGTAAGCCTAACAGTTCAGGCAAAGGGAAAGCACTTTCATCCCAGGTTTTGTGCTTTTTCAATATGCCTTACTGTGAAGTTACTGAAATATATATATCCAGGGATGAACCCTATCAAAGAACTATATTTTATAATTTTTTTTTCAATGAAAGTAACATGCATTTATATAATTTCTTTTTTTTTCAACAGAAAATTGCTGCCAGAATTGATTGCTGCAAAAAATGAACCCGAAAAAGTGGCATATGTATTCCTTAAAAAGGTCCTCTTCTATAAACAAATACATAACTGACATTAAAATATTCAAAGCAATAAGTATATATTGTGTTCTAATTAAAATATAAAAAGCTTAATGCATCTGTTATACAATGTGATTTTGACTTTTTATTTTGTTGACAGAGGGAAAGCTTCTCTGAGTATCTACCATACCTTGCTGGTAAAAATAAAGCTGGTGAAAGCTTGGAGTCTAAGGAACTGAAAAAATTCCTACAGGTATGCATCATATGAATCATTTAAACTGTTAAATTCTTAAACTCCTCCAGGAAATAGGGAGCTAAGTGTTTGCATTATTATGTAGGACTGTAGTAAGAGTATTGGTTATGGTATTTCTTTTTTGTGATGTAGGACTATAGTAAGAGCATTGGGGATGAAAGTGACACTCTCCAGGAACTGTTGGATAGACCAGTGGAAAGAATCCATGAATACATGGATCTCTTAAAGGTACCCTACCCTCATCAAATTCTTTCAGTAATTTTATATATTTTAATAAATGAATAATTACTAATTTTTAAAGTTCCATGTTATTTGAATGAATGATTCATACTTATGCATATGTTTTATTTGAATGTCTGGATGCAATATTTTGACAATCTGTTTCAGAACTTGATCAAGTTCACTAAGGCTGGGGGTGGGGACTGTGTGGAGCTGTTGAAGGCAGTCAGTATGCTGAGTGACATCTGTCGAGAGGTGGAGAACATCATGTTACTGGACAATATGGAGGGCTGGGAGAACCCAGAGCCTGCTCACTGTGTCATATCACACGTATGTCTCGAATAGTAATATCACACATATGTAGCATATCGTAACCAGTGATTTACTCAGGCTTACTGTGTCATATCACAGGTATATGCCACACATTTTTCAGCATATACATGCATAAGTTTCAATAATAATTTTTTTTTTAAATTTAGAACTCTCTATCTCTATTTCATTGAATGTCATTAAATTGCTGTAAATAGGGATCATAAGTTGAAGTCCAGATCAAAACTTGAGCATTAGATAAAAGATTGAATGAATACTGAATTTGCTCTATTTAGGAGACAGCTACAGTATGGAGTGGGGAGGCAGAAGTGGGAGAGGATTGTCATATCTTCCTGTTCCCTGAGAAGATGGTCATAGCTCGCAGCACAGAGGGGAAGGACACTGCACCAGGGGGCGTGGTCCGCCTCAAGTTTGATCAAGAGATCCAGGTGGGTGTGACATATGTAGTAGTATACAACACTCTATAGTGACATGTAATAGTTTACATTCCAAAAAAAATTCAAGTCATGAATGTGTCAGAAACTGGAGAGTTTCAGGTTATTTTTTTTTTTTTTTTTTTTTTGCTGTAGCTGGTGGAGGAAGCCAGACTGTGTTTGTATGTCAAGAAAGATAACTCTGAAATTTTCCTCGCATCTTTTAGAATTATGCAATATATAAATCATATTGCATGTGTGAGGGCTTAGAATGGATTTAGAAATATAGCATGTTTTTGTCTGGTTGTCTCTTCATCTACTGTCAGTTTGTAATACTTCCATATTTAGATGATATCTGTGAGATACTCAAGCTTTTTGCAATAAAATTTCATATGATTACTCCTTTAATAAATGAATTGAGGAAGATCCCTATTTTAGGTCAAAATTTCAAATTCACAAATTCATCTTGTTATGAAATGATACAGTTTAGTCTGTGGATGTTATGTACGAGTTAAGCCAAAGCTAAAGATCACAAATTGATATACTGCTTTTTAAAAATGATTGCCATATGATAAGTTAATTTAGTTCTCTTTGAACATTTGAAATGAAACTTAAGGTGAAATAAGAAAGGCCTCAATGTATCAACTTTGAGGTCAGAAGGTCAAAAGTCAAGGGAAAGAAAACATATAAAATAATGAATTAGATATAGAATGGGACAATTCAGTTCTTAGATGTACTTGAGCTTTTATATTGAAATTTTACATCCTAAACTACTTATAAAGAAAAGATTTGTTACAAATCATGTGTTACACAAAATGATTTCCACATCTATTATAAATACATCTAATATATATATACATGTTAGATGTTGAAATCCTACGAAATTTTTAAATGTTATATTGTTCGTTTAACTATCAG